TGCAATAAATGCTTTCCAAGAAAAATTTCAAGGAGTTCAAATGCAAGGTTGTTTTTTTTACTTGGTCAAGAATTTTAAAAAACATCTTGCCGAACTTAATCTTTTGGGTAGATATCAGAATGACCCAGATTTTGCCCACATGGCAAAAATGATAACTTCATTGGCCTTTGTACCTATCGAAAATCTCGATGAGGCGCTAGAGAGTCTCACAGAAGAAATACCGCCAGATTTGTTGCCAATGCTCGATTGGTTCGAAGATTTTTATGTTGGGAGACTAAACAGACGTGGAGGTGGGCGAAGACCGCCTATGTTTCTACCAACCTTATGGTCTGTTTATGAAAGAGTTATCAACGGCATTCACAGAACTAATAATTTTGCTGAAGCTTCTCACAGAAGGCTTCAAACAGAGTTATCAATGGATCATCCCACGATTTGGTCATTTATTGATATACTGAAAAAAGTGCAGGTTACAAGAGATATGTATATAGAACAATTAATAGCTGGACAGGCACCTCCTAAAAAACTTAGAAAATATGTTGAATGTGATAAAAGAATTAAGAATATTGTAGAAAATTTCAATAATATAGGGATGGTAGAATATTTGAAAGGCTTAGCTTACAATTATAATATGGCTTAGCTTACAATTCTGTGGGTAAAAGGCATAAGGGGATAAGTCAAAACAATAAATTTTTTAGTAGTGCCTTAAACGTGTTCGCATTAATTTAGGAAATACATTTATGGTTAGCGGGTATATCCTTTTGCCAGCACATGTCATATGCTAGCAAAAGGGTATGCTCGCTAACCATAAATATACTTCCTGAATTAATACGAACACGTTTAAGTCTCTACCGACCGCCTTTTACCCACAGAATTATAATATAGTAGGGATGTATTATTTTGTATGAATTTGTAATAAAATATATGTTTTGAATTACGTTTTAATAAATTTATGTTTCAAATAATATGTTTGTGTTTCATTTATTTTTCAGGTACATTGCGGTTTTAATGGTTAAAATAGGGTCGATTTTTGATATGTTTTTAATTATTTGCGCCATAAAGTCTTCGCGCCAGAATGTACCTGCGCCATAAAGTCTTCGCGCCAGAATGTACCTGCGCCAAATAGGCTTTGCGCCAGAAGCGGTCTGCGTCACAACGGACCTGCGCCAGTACGGCCGCGCCAAATCGGTCGCGTCAAATCGGTTGCGCCAGAACGTCCTAGACCGATTTATGCCTATTATGCGTACAAAAAAGCTAAAGTATTTAGCGCCATGCCAGATATCTAACGGCACAGACAAAACCCCTGAAATATATATAATCTGAAAAAATTCATGAACTATTTTCACATTTTTATACTCTTCAATTTGACTCAAATGAATTGAGCTCAAACTTTTTATAAAGTTATATGTCTAAATCGAATTCGCTATCCATTTCTTCGAAAAACAAAATTTCTATTGGACGATCTCTAAATTTTGACCCATTTAGCAGATCATAGCAGGACTATTGGTCAACACGTTCTAAAATAATGGTGTTGCCATCTTAAATCGCACACACTAATGTATGATTAAATATTTAAATAAGTTTTAAATGCGCTTTTGTTTAGTATTTTTTATTTTTCGTGCCCCACCTGGCGGTGCCCATTAGAATGCAGTCCGAGTAATTTTGCAGAAACACTGGATTACGCAGAGGTATCGCGCAATATACGCCGTAGTTGAATGGAGGTAGTGAAAGAGAAAATCGAACTATCGTTAAAATGGTGTGAACGTTCCAGTATTCAAATCCTGAAATTAAGTTTCCTGAGGCGATTTGAGCAGAACTTGTAAGCACGGCAAATCCTGAATAGCACGTAAATCCTAAATAGAACCTGAAAATTGTTGGAGAAAGGTGTTAGTCCGTTCGAGCTGTGGATGGGTAAAAAAACAAGGATCAAGCGAATTGTTGGTTCAATATGTTTCGCCAATGTTCGTAAACAAAAAAATATAAAACAAGCTGGAAAAGGCTACGACGGTTACGAGCGCTACAGGATCTACGTATCACAGAAAAAAGAAGTTTTTATCAAGAGGTAAAATTTTGTTCAGAATTACGAGCTACAACAAAAAAATGTTAAAAGCCATGGAGAGTGAAAGGAAATGTATCTAGGAAGTTGACTACGCTACCAAAAGAGGAAAAAGCTCTTTCTTGCAAATAAGTATTTCGAGTCATACAAACCCCAAAGGCAGGGTTAACAAATTTAAAGCTCGATTAGTTGAAAAAGGATTCGTCTAACGGAAAGAAATATATTACGATCAAACCGTCAGTCCAGTTCTCAATTCGAATGGTGAATAAGGACGCTGGGCGGAAATGGGTTAAGGAGGCTATTTTCATGAAACAGCCTGAAGGATATATTAATAATACATAACAAGTCTGCAAGCTAAAAAATAACTTTATAGTTTTTTCGAAAAACTTGGATTTAAGACCAGACCAGACCAAAATTTACATGAAGATACATATAATTTAAGGAAAATATTTTATTTCAAATTCAACTTCTTCTTTTGTATATCTTTTATTAATTTGCATTATTTCTCATCCAATGTCAGCCTTTGCTTTTCAAGTTCTTTGATATCTCGCATTAAGGTTTTTCTTTTCTCTGCTTTTCTCGCTATAATGAATGCAAAAAAAAATTAACGATCACTCTATTTTAAATGCTTCCAACGCAAGTAAAGCAAGCTTTCAAATAATAAATGAGCTTCGAGACAATAAATACTCAAAAATTAAGGAGTACTTTACTCCAATTTTCCCAATAGGTTTAATACAATTTTCACTAATATTGCGTAAGAACCGCTGGAAGCTCCTCCTGCAACAGATGAATTTTGATCTCAGTTGAATTGCAGTAATGCACCCTTTTAAATTCAAGGAATGGACTTTTAATGATGTAAGGGACATTATTCTGCATTTTAATAACTCTAAATGCATCAATTACAATAACCATAATTTTAAATTTTAAAACTCATCGTGCATTATATTGTGTTTTCTTTAACAAACTCCGCAATTGCCGAAGGCAAGCATTGAAGATCGCTAAAGTTTTACTTATACATAAAAAAGGGCCTATCGATGTTTTTAACAACTTTAGACCTATTGAAATTACGCCAATTCTAAGCAAAATATTTAAAAAAAAATGTCAATTTGGATAAGTCTACGACTTTGGATGCCATGGTATGGCGTATCATACGCCGCGTATGTGGCTTAAACTCGCTTGATTCCAGGCGCAGCTGAAGAGAGAATGTATGAAACGTCACGGAATACTTTGTCCTTGCTGAGTTAGTTTTTTAGTCAATGTCAACAATAAGAATTCGGATCTGTTCCAGGTGCTGCTCGGTGTCTTTTTTGTTTTTTTTAACGTTATCTCGCTTTATGTTCCCATCACTGATCTTGGAGAGGGTTTACTCGAGACGCGGTCCAGGTTTTACCAATGGTTTATTTATAATAAACTCATATTAAACCTTGACCAGACGTACAACTTCTCTTTAAGGCCTCTGCCAAGTTTAAACAATCCTGACACCCTCAAGTTTTTAGGAATTGTGTCAGATACTATCCTGGCTGCATATTATTCATTCATCCATTCTAGATTTTTCAAATTTTAGACCAGAGATCATTTTTGACGTGTGGGGGGATGGGCAGCATTACTGGTTCCTCTTCTTTGTCATTAATCAGGATGCAATGGATTTCCGCATCTGAGATTGAAGCCAAAACAGGTGGCTCCATTATTTGGTCCTGTGTCATCCCCAAGAGCAGGTTTCCAGGATGCGCAAAAAATGCGTTGGGTTGTATCACAGGTTCAAGAATATCTCTACATTTCGGGGGGATAAACTTTGGGAGACCGATGAGCACAGTCAAAATGTATTAAGTAAGACCTTATCAACCGCCAAAGCCCCAAAAAAAACGGAAATTTGTAAATTGTTTACTGACTTTGGTTTCAACAGATTTAATATGCAGTTCATGGGCCCGGGCTCTGGCGAAGGCCAAAGACCTGCTTCTACGCAGGGGGCAAGGCTCAGGGACGTGAATTTGTGGCCCTTGAAAAACAAATTTTGGACGAAGTGGAAGCAAATCCGAGAATTAGTACAAGACGATTAACTGCCCAACTTGGACAAAAGTCCAACTTTGTTACGTGGCACACGATTCACGAAAATAGTTTGTACCCCTATCACCTACAAAAAGTTCAAGGTCTTCAGGATGGAGATTATGCACTGCGGTTGGAATTTTGCCATTGGTATATACAGAAAAATCAAGAAGATGCTGATTGGAGCCATAGTGTTTTGTATACCGATGAGGCCACATTTACGAGAGACGGGATTTGGGCAGCCACTCAGGAACTTAATTGTAAATAGTCCAGACATTTTTACGCGAAAGCATGCTTCGCAGAGTTTAAGCTTGCATTCTAAATAATGAAATCATTTTGAGCATCTCAAATAAGGTAATACATTTTTAATTTTACATTTGGCAACACTGCATTAAAAAGTAATAGGTAAGGTTAATCCGCGGTTTCTAGTCGATCAATGGCGTACTTTTTGGTAGGATAAAGGTTATTATAAATTATTTTTAGTCTTTGGAATTTAGATAAAAAAAGTTTTTTATGGACCCTAAGGAACTACCCATTTTAATATATAACATTAATTACATAACACCCTGTATATACATATATGATGTTGGTTTAAAAAGTTGCTCAATGTTATTTTGCCTTAAACAAAAAAAACTTAGTGCTTAAGAAGACTATTTTATCTCCATAAGTTAGTGCTTATACGGTTTTGTATTTTCTTATCTAAAAAAATATATAAAAATTTAGTACCCTTTGTAAGCAATGAAAGTAAATAAAAAACTCCAAGCGTTTGCGTAATACAGATTTAACATACATATTTAAAAACTTTAAATTTAACATATTTAAAAACTTGAAAAGCATCTTAATATATATTAAACTAAAGAGGGTTTGTTTTTGCTGAAGGAAAGTTAAATAATTTGTTTTATTATTATTTTAAAAATTTTAATTTAAACAAAATAAATACTTAAAACCAATACATTATTCTTCATCTGCTTCCAAATTAATGTGACCTCCAAATTTGCCATATAGGTGAGATTTTAAGTCACTCATAGTTTCTTTAACTTCCTTAGCTTTGTCTTTAAGTTCAGAAATTTCTTGCTGTATTTTTTTCTTCGCTTCTTCAAGGCATTTCTAAAAAAAATATTTCTTGTTTAAAAGAACAATATAAAACATTTAATAAGTTATTATGCCGCCGATACGAGAGATTCTCGCCTCTCGTCTCGTCTCGACGAGACGAGAGGGCGATTTTCTCTCGAAAAAAGGCTCGAGACGAGACGAGAGAATGCCCTCTCTCGCTCGAGAATTTCTCGTTTCTCTCGATCTCTCTCGTTCTCTCGATTACTCCGGTAATAAGTAAACAATTTTTTTTACATAAAAATTATAATTTTGCACATAAACGACGATATTTATTTGGACCAATGAGAACATTATTCGCATTTCATAATAAACAAAATTTGTTCCTGGTTAACGTTGTATTATTTTATAACACAACTTAACGTTAACCAAGAAAAAATTACTTATAAAATAATAATAATTTTTAAAATTTACCCTGTATAAGCACATCTATGGCAATCTTTATACTATTAAAAAAAACCGTATGCTTAATAAGCATTGCTTATTCAATAAACTTACCAACAACATGTGGTTTTTGATATCCATTTCTTTTTAAAAATAAATTGGCTGATCCAATATGACGAAAATTTGTCGTTCGGCTTTAATGGTTTAGGTAAAATTTAGTATTCAGATATTTATGGGGTCCCTGATTCAGAATTTGATATCCATTAAAAAAAACAAAATGGCAGATTCAAAATGACGGACATGCGCAGTAGGTACAAGATGGTTGGATCTATGTGGAGTAGTTACATCATATATGCGCAGTAGTTTTCAGATGGATGGATCAAATGATTTGATCCATTGAAAACTACTACGCCGATACAGGGTGTTTCTTTTAACTTGAGACAGCTCAATATCTCGAGAAATATGCATTTCACGGAAAAATGTTAATGTGACCAAAGGGGACATTATTTGGTGCTACCTCTAGCCACCCCCTACCCCTCCTTAAGGGTGAAACGGGGGGTAACTTTGGAGAGTCAAATGGGATTACCCTTTTTTTACAGATTTTGGTAGTACATAAAAAAATGAATAACATATTTGAAACTTTTTTCAATTTATCAACAGATGGCGCTGTAATTCAAAATTTAAGAAAAATGTGTTTCCTTGTAAAATGTATTATTTGAAAAGTTTGAAAAACAAAAATGAACATTCCATCAACAATAGTCGGCTCTGAAAACAATTTATAACAAATGTTCGAAATGTCGTCCTTCCATTTCGACACCAAGTGGAGCACCAGCGTCCCTGGTCCGTAAACGTTTGGTGCGGTACCTTTGGCGAACGGCATTAAATGGTGAAAAGTACCGGAACTTTCTAGAAAACGATCTGCCAGACTTCTTCCTGTGGCGTTACTTGAAAGAAAAATTCCTACAACTCGGGAGGACATGGTGGAGCCAGAATTCATTCAAAAATGTGTCGAAATGAAAAGATGACATTTTGAACATTTGTTATAAATTGTTTTCAGACCGACTATTGTTGATTTAATGTTAATTTTTGTTTTTCAAACGTTTCAAATAATACATTTTACAAGGAAATCCAATTTTCTTAAATTTTGAATTACAGCGCCATCTGTTGATAAATTGAAAAAAAGTTTCAAATAAAAGTTTTTAATTTTTTTATGTACTACCAAAATCTGTGAAAAAAATTGGGTAATTCCTTTTGACTTTCTAAATTTACCCCCCCCCCCGTTTCACCCTTAAGGATGGGTAGGGGGTGGCTAGCGGTAGCACCAAATAATGTCCCCTTTGGTCAAATTAACCTTTTGTTAAAGACATTTTTCTGTGAAATGCGTATTTCACGAGATATTGAGCTGTCGCAAAAGAAACACCTATACTAGATGTAACTACTCCACATAGATCCAACCATTTGATTCAAATGTGAGACATTTTCGGCGTAAAAAGTCTTACTTTATTAGTGTGGTCTTGGTACACATTTTTTTTATTTCCAGTTTAAATTTCTATATAAAAAAATATACACGAATTCGTATTTCATTCCAAATAATTTTTGTATTCATACTTAGGTACTTTTACCACGAGAGAAACGAGACGAGACGAGAGAAAGGCACTCTCGAGCGAGAAAAGAGTATTCTCGACGAGACGAGAGACCCATTTTCTCTCGCTGCACGAGACGAGACGAGAGAAGGACTTTTCTCGTCTCGTCTCGTCTCGCGGCATCACTATTAATAACAAAATATGTTATATGATATATTAATAATAATTTTTATGACAGAAACGACAGCGTAAAAAAGTATGTCTAATACGCTGCGCCAAATTACAGAATAGCGTGAGAAATCATGAGATGTAAGGAGGGTTTCTACATTGTTGGGTCAAAAAAATCAACACTTTTTTGCAATTTCTAAAACATTTCACACTTAAAATTCGCGAATGTCCTACAGAGTTACAGCGTAAGACATATTGGGATAGCAGACTGGATGTGCTAAACAAAATTTTAAATGCGTTTTTATCGAAACTTACCTATTTTTTTTAAACTGCAGTCTACTTTATGCAAAAATATATATTTCTGATCAGTTTTGGATGTGAAACCATTATCGTCTTATTAGTCTGTCGAAATGGATCATCCATTATTTTCTGTTTCAATTTTTTGAAGCAAAAGAGTATTAAAAAATCATGCAATTGATTTTTTTATTTTTAGTTAAGTAATCCGAAAACCAGGAAATTATTAAAGTATTTATTGGTCTAAAATCTTCTTTCTTGCAAATAACAGTACAAAAATACTTTTATATATTTATTATTATATTTTTACCAAACAGGCCTTAGGCAGGATTACATATATATATTTTAAATACTACTTTAATTTTTGTAAAATATGGGAAAGATTTTCTATCAATTTTTACAGAAATAAATAAAAACTTTGTTTTTTTCGAAATTATAGTATTTTCGTTGTTTTATTGTTGTTTAGTTTATGGGCCAGTAGTCTTCTGGATGATTTTTTCACCGATTTTAAGCAAGAATGAATGTTAAGACAACTTAATTGAAATTTATCTGCAGAATAATGTGCTATTGCTATTATTCTTCATCATCAAGAAGGTAGAGACCAGGGCAGCGTCTAAATGTAACACAGTCGACAATTAGCCGAGTACTACAACTGTTTAATTAAACAGATAATCGGTGGTTCCGGTAAATATATCACCAGAAAATAAATAAGTTTTAGTTTCGTTTTATTAGCTAACAAGCTGATACATTTCATTTAATATAGTCTTGTTCCCCCCCTACGTGGTTTCGGCTGTTCATCTTTACGATATCAAAGTAAGCCATGACTCATAAATCAATTTTAACAGATTCTTATTAATTATTTAAATGTGTTGCTATAGTGCAAAAATAAACGATGTGGGAAATAAAATCGAGCCGGTGATAATCAAAAGTTAGTATTAATGAATGGCGAAACGTTTAGTTTGATTTTTAAAAATTCGTCAAATGCGTCCTCACTTTTATTATTAATAAATTAAAATTCATGTCAACTACATGAACCGAACGTTTCGCCGTATTTAAAAAAAAACGTTTTCAGTGCGTATAGGTAACGTTTTGTTATTTTGTATAGGTATACCTTTTGTATAGGTATATAAATCGCACTCCCAGTAATATATTAATTATGCATTTTTACACTTTTAGACATGAACTAAATTTAGAATGGCAAAGGCTGTGATAACAGCAATTCTTTTAATTTTATTCTGTAATTTGGCATTAAGTTTGGAAAGAAACATAAAATGTTGCACGAGCAATATGTTTCAGGGCAGTGGAATGGTTAGTGCCTTAATGGTATGGTATTCGGGGTGGACCACCTTTTGTATTTGAAAAGCCACAGCCAAGGTCGGTTAAAGTAGAGAAAAGTTGCAAGTCTTTTTCAAATAATGTTAAAAAACTTAAAACCTGCATAAACATAAATCGTTATAATTCAGTTATTCCTGGGAATATAAAAAAAGTAAGTTTCACATGAAAACATATAGATATACATTTATCAACATTTTTATCCAACTTGTAATTTTTTTTGTCTACCATATTTGAGTTACCACCACCATCTTTTGTTTTTGGCCGGCATATTGAAATTCAAACATACTATATAAGTTCTGGCGGCCATTATAAAAAGAAAAGATGGTGATGGTAAAAATATAGTGTCAAAGAAATTGGATGAAAATGTAGTTACATGTTTACCATATGTATACACCTAGAATCCTTGGTTGCACCCTGTATATGTTTTTTAATTCAAATATACTGAACTTTTCGGGATGGGGTCGCCAATAAAGAAAGTTACGCTTTTTTAGGAAATTTTTGACCCTCCTCCCCCTTGTCACAAATGGACACAGCATCGCCAACCACCCCACTATGTCAGGTCACAAATTTCAAAAAAACAGTATTATGTTTACAAAAATATTTAATTTTGGAGAAATTAAATAAAGAAAATAATTATTTGAAAAAAGTCACCCTAGGGAGTGACGTCCTTTATGGGCGCCCCCTATGCTAATGAATCAAACATACCAACATATCGTCGTTAATACTGCAAAATGTCGTATTATACGACGTATCAATGTTGGTATGTTTGGTTCATTGGCATACCAAAAAGTATAATTAATTTAAAAAATATATCGACACCTGAGAATTATAGTGTTCTATCTGCATTTTCTTTTTTTTTATTCAGGTTAGTCTTGTTTTAAGTCTTAAAGATGATATTGATCTATCTATATATAATTGGGGTAGAAATTGTAAAGTTTAAGGCTTAAACTGTACAATTTCTACCCCAATTATATATAGATAGAACAATATGCATCTTTAATACTTAAAATAAGACTAACCTGAATAAAAAAAAGAAAATGCAGATAGAACGCTATAATTCTCAGGTGACGATATGTCAAGGCCTGATATACATTGTTAGAGGCCCTAAGCAAAATAATTTGTGCCAATTTATATGCATACAACCAACCCAGGGGGGTATTATCTTTGCATACAACTACAAAATTGCCATGCCTGTGTGAATTGGGGCCGCCGTCGAACCGGGGCCCTGGACAATTGTAGTAAATCCGGCCCTGATATGGGTATATTATCAAAAAAACATTAACTTTTCAGGACAAAAAAACATTTTTAAAAACCTAAAAGCATAAAGAAATGTAAAAAAATAAATCACACACCATTTTTTAACCTTCTAGGTTTTTGGAAAAATACATGTTTTTTAAAATATAAATATTTTTTTTAGTTATTATTTATTTACGTTTGCGAATGTACCCTTAAAATAAAATGTTCAAGAGATATATTCTCCCGCCCTCTACCAGTAGGATTTTACTTAGGGGCTGGTAAAAAGTGAAAGATGATATTGTATAAACATTTTATTTTAAGGGAACATTCACAAGTATAAATAGTAACTTTTTATTGCTATTATATAGGGAATTTTAACAAAAAACTTTAAACATACTATTTTTACTCCACCATTGCTTTTATACTATTTTATTGATACAACATAAAATAGGCAGTACATCTATCAAAATTATAAAAAGTATTATTAAATTTTCGTCATAAAACTATCTTTTATCTTGTACCTCGTACACATGTTTCGTTTCTAATAATTTAAAAAAAATTATATTTAGTTTTATTTTTAATATTTCCTACAAAAATATATATATATATATTTTTACTTTAATATATTAAAATTTTTTTATTTTACGTATTATAACTATTAAATGAAAATTTATTCCAAAACAACAAAAAACAGAATGTTATACAAAGCGAAAATTAAAATACAGAAATATGCAACAATTTTGATCATTGATCACTGTATATAATTTTATTAGGGTCATTTCATAACAAGGTGCCAATTATATTGCTCAATACTTTTGCTTTTTAATTCATATTTTCCTTAAATAATTAGGTACCTAATAATAATAATACTATTTTTTTTTAACTTATACCCTCAGAGCTTGAAAACTTTTTTAAAATATGAAACCTTTAAAAATTTAAGAATTGGCCCTCTGTAACTCAACCTTCACAACTTAAAGCATATTTTATTACGATTCCTAAAATAAAGTATTTATGTAACCTTTATAACATTTAAATTTAAGCTAGCCCCTCTTAGTTGGAGGCTCCAACTCAAATCCCCAAAGCACATAAAAAACCTCAACAAGTAAAATTATGAACCCTTTTTAAGTAAAAAAGCTATATAGCTTATAGTTATATAACTCCAACAATTTAACGTTACTCTCTAACTTTAACATATGGAGGTTTTAGTATAATTTTGTATAATTGCCTTTATTAATTCAATTAGGTATAAAGCAACATAAAAAGGCACGTTGATAATAGTAAACGAGTAATTCGTTATATTTGTAATCAAGCATTTCAATTTGTTAAAAGTGTGTGGTTTATTCCCTTTTTTTTCAACACAACACAATTATTCACAGTTTTACACTTATAGCATTTGCAACCCACATAAAATAAAGAACCAGAAATAAGAAACCATAATAAACTTGTGCTTTGAAGGCCCAACTTGATTCAAGTTACTTAAAGGCTAAAATTAAATAAAAATGTGTTAAAAAACTATGTACATAATTGTAAAATGCGTCGTATTACCTGATTTTTGTTACATAAATACAACTTGTGCTTAATTATTATCAGAAATATTTTTATTTAATATCATTTAGGTATAAGATGATGTCCATAGATATCTTATATCTCATTCTGTGTAGGTATTAGGGTGTTTCATTTAAAACGAACATTTTTTTTTCTTGCTGACACATGAAAATTTAGTTTTTTAGGTTGAAAAAAAAATTCCCTGAAAATTTGAGCCCTTAACTTTTATTCTAAGTACTTCCTTTTTAATTTTGTAGTTTTTCCATATAAAAAGCATGTATTTTTAATCATTTTTACTTTAAATTTCTATATTTTGGCCGGGTTTTGAATTATAATTTTTATCACCATAATTTTCTGCATAGTATTCACGGTTTTTGAAAGGCCCTGCATCAATTTTGTTTTTGATTTATTTACATTGATTGTAGTAGGTCCAAAAGTCGTTTTTTCACTTTTTCTCACATATTTTTGAGAAAATCGAGCCAATGTTGTAGAAAATTTAATTTTTGACAAAAAAGGTTTTTACGTTCATATCACTAAAGTGCTTTGTTGCGTAAATAAATCAAAAACAAAATTGATGCAGGGCCTTTCAAAAACCGTGAATACTATGCAGGAAATTAAGGTGATAAAAATTATAATTCAAAACCCGGCCAAAAAATAGAAATTTAAAGTAAAAATGATTAAAATTACATGCTTTTTATATGGAAAAACTACAAAATTAAAAAGGAAGTACTTAGAATAAAAGTTAAGGGCTCAAATTTTCAGGGAATTTTTTTTTCAACCTAAAAAACTAAATTTTCATGTGTCAGCAAGAAAAAAAAAATTTCGTTCTAAATGAAATACCCTAGTAGGTATACCAGAGATACGACACTGACCCAAACTTTCTTCCAAACCGTGGCAAACTACCAACCAAACTGAGCAAAAGCTACTGTTTTAACGGACCCGCTAACTTAGCAAAAGATAGATCAAGACCCCGAGTAATGCTTAAAAACAGGATAGGGTCGCAGAAGGATAACAACACCTATTCAAGATCGGTTTTAAGACTTTAAGCACTTAGACAAAAATTTGTAATGAGTACGACGCAAATAAATGACTTTATGCAGGCCTATAATGCAAGAATCAGCCAAGATACCATAAGGCGGAGATTACGAGAAGCAAATTTAATGCCATAAAGAGCAGCAACTGCAGACCATTGAACAGCGCGCCTCGAATTTGCTTAAATAGTAAAATACTACGTTAAAATTGTATACGTATTTATTTAAGAAACGCTTCTACCAAATCTCTACATTTTTACAAAAAGTTTTATTAATTGTCAATACAAATATCTAAAACAACCCTGCTTAAAATACCCCATAGAGACCCTGTTCAAACCGATAGATATTTATATCGCAATGTATGGTGTTCCACCCTTGATTTATTTGCTATTGGTTTCAATGGGGAAAATACACATAAATGTAGAAATTAGTTTTTCCCCCATAGGACCCCATAGGTTTTAATCAAATTTTGTCAAATGTTTTAAATAGGGATATCCCTATATATCCTTTATTGAGTTATTTGCTATCGGTCTCAATAGAAAAATGTAAAAGTTATGGTGTGCCTATAGGTAATTTCCTATAAATTTTCTATCGGGCCGTATCCGGAAAAAACCATGGACAAATGCACATATTGAATCCGATAGTGCCCGATAGATTATTTTATATAGGGTTTTTAAGCAGGGAAGAAGAAGAGGAAAATTCCTTCGGCATTTTTCGATCTGATTGAGGATACAATTAGTTATTAATTAAATAAAGTAACCAATCACAGGCGTGCTTAAGCAGGGTGAGTAGTAAAAAACAAATACACTGACAGTGCCGCCCTTGGACAATAGCATGGGGATTTTAGTCTGCCCAAACATGATTGTTATGGAAATTAAAAATTTCCATATCTGGTAAATCCGGCTTTATCTGTAAAGATAACTCATGCTCCCATAGATATATTAACAGTGAACGCCTACTCTTGTGTATTGAAGTGAACCTAAATGTCATTGTCATAACCTCGAAATGACAAGTTTGTTGTGTGTTTTTGTTAAAATACGATGGGAGTTTGTTCTGCGTTGGGTTGTAGAAGTTGTATATATTATAATGACGAGAATAAAGAGCCTGGAATAAAAATCTTCTTGGTGATAACTTAAAATTCGCTTTTTAAGGTAATAAATCTATTTATTTTAATCAGTATCTGTTTAGCCAGTTCCTAAATAACCAAATCTTTTATCTTCTCATTCACACATTTCTTCCACATTTGAACGTTTTAAAGGTACTTTGGTGCCATTTTGATACTTAAAAAATATTTGGTACTTCTGGACCCATTTTTGTACGTTTTTACATTATTCAATCAGAGTAGGTAAGTTGCGAGTTTGAGACTGCCAAAAGTGACAACCAAAAGAGATAATATTCGATAAAAAATACCTTATTAGTTACTTTAATAATTATTGTTTTAATAATAATAATAATAATAATGCTTTATTGAACTAAAACCAAGTTCAAAGGCTATTGACCGTAGTCCTTCAGCCGATATTGTTTTAATTTTCTTATTTTTGCTTTTTTTAACAGTTATTTAATTTTGATTAATTTGGCCTTCTTTCCCTGTACTAACTAGTGGTACCTATTGGGGAAATTTGGTACTTCTTGCGGCAATTGATTTGATGAATTGATTTGAATTGTATATTTGTCAGTAACAGTGTTTTGCTTTTAGGTAAAGTTTTCTAACATTCTGCTAAAGCACACCTGTAATTGGCTACTTTATTTAATTAATAAATAATTAAGCGTCAGATTGAAAAACGCGTCTTCTTTTGAATCTAGAAATATTTATCCTTTTTTGAACACCCTGTATATTTTACAAAAATATATAAAAGAAAAATTTTAACACATTCTTTAGAAATATGGCATTGTAAACAGATATGTAACAAACAATGCAATCATGTGCGTTTCTGTCTTTTTTGGCAGGACATACATTTTTGCGTTATCGTAATTTTTCTGAATTGTTCTGCAATACATCAACCATGTACACTGTGCATTGCATCCGCAAACTGACGTTAATGTTATGAGACAATACATTTAAGGACAAATTCGCAACTATAAAATTAGCCATGTTATTCAAATATAAAATAAAGAAAAGGTCAAATTGTGCAATAAAAGGTAGTCTTACCTGTGCAGTTTCTAAATCGTGGTAAATAAAAACTTCTCCCACTAAATAAGGTATTTTTTCATCATCATCAAACAACTCCATATCATCACATGCATCTTCAATACTTTGGAAATCGTTCTAAAAAATAAAGACAAATTTAAATTATTATTATTTGTATTTTTAATAAAATGGTACATAATAAATGTGACATGTATTAAATAATTTTTTGATACCATACCATCATTAAAATTATAGTCTTTTTTGGTTAACAGTTAATGTAATGGTTAATGTAAAGTGATCATTCGTCCCCCCTCATTGAAAGGAAATTATACCCCGCTGACACAAATACTCCCCGGCGCAAGGTATCCTCCAAAATGTCCCCCAGGGTGCAAAAGGTCCTCCTGAATGACACCTAAATAAAAACCCTATTCTCATAAAATCAACTTCTGGTAATGATTTCATTGTTAGAGAGCCATATATTAATAGATTACTCTAAATAAACTAGGTGGGCTAGAAAACCAAACATTTTCATTATTTGTATAAACACAACTAACAATGATTTTTAATGTATCATCATTAAAATTATAGTCTTTTTTGGTTAACGGTTAATGTAATGGTTAATGTAAAGTGATCATTCGTCCCCCCTCATTGAAAGGAAATTATACCCCGCTGACACAAATACTCCCCGGCGCAAGGTATCCTCCAAAATGTCCCCCAGGGTGCAAAAGGTCCTCCTGAACGACACCTAAATAAAAACCCTATTCTCATAAAATCAACTTCTGGTAATGATTTCATTGTTAGAGAGCCATATATTAATAGATTACTCTAAATAAACTAGGTGGGCTAGAAAACCAAACATTTTCATTATTTGTATAAACACAACTAACAATGATTTTTAATGTGCGCCTTCTGTTACAGAGAAAACAGAATAATGTTAACATCGTTTAAATGACAGCTTTATTGGGTGCAATTTTTATTATTAATATTATTGGGGCAAGACTTAACCTTTTTAAATTAATATCTTTAAATCTGTTATACAGGGTGTCCCATAATTAGCGTGCAATACTTTAACAGCAGATTCTACATACAAAAATAAGAAAATAGTTTCTATAAACATAGGCCGAGAAATGCTTTCTAAGGGAACTACAGCCCCTAAAAGAGGAGCTCCTGAAGATGGTTTTTATTTAATATATCCAAAACCGTTCAAGATAGAAAAGTAAAATTTTGGGAATTAAAACTTCAAACTTTTTATGGCCAATAAGATGTAATAATAACAATTCAAAATTTCCATGAGGGGTGGGTCATATAGATAGGGACCACCCTAGCTTTTTTGTACTTGTCTCTTGCTAGAATTTGATGTCAGATTATAATATAAGTTTTACGCATAAAAAAGTCCTCTTCTTAAACTTTGATATTATCCACTGTTTTCGCTTAAAATCCATTTAAAAAATACATTACAGCATAAAAGATCATAATGAATTCACAAGAGAGAAAAATTCAGCCTAGGCCATGGAACACAGCTGCCATCTTTAGGAAAAATTATTTAAGACAGGTAACAGTTCCATGTTTCCTAATATGTGACAGGGTTTTTAAAAATTGTCCATGGCCTACGCTGAATCTTTTTCTCTATTTCTGTAGAATGTTTATGCTATACAAGGTAATTTTTAAGAGGACCTTTTTTGAGTGTAAAACTCTGAAATTTTATGATCTGATATCAAATCATAGCACAAGATACGTACAAAAAAGTTAGGGTAGTTTTACCCCCACTCCGTATCTATCTGACCCACCCCTTATGAAAATTTTGAATTTGTTATCATTCCAACTTATTGGCCATAAAAAGTTTGATTATATCCCAAAATTTCACTTTTTTATCTTAAACGGTTTTGGAGATATTAAATAAAAACCCTTGAAAAGCATTTTCATTTACCTACTCTAATGTACTATCAAAGTCCCACCACGTGAATTTTATATCCTATTTTCTAAAAATAAAACAATTTATGTATTTTTTTGTTCTAAATGAAGAACTTTTTGCATAAAAAAATACGACGAAAATAGCTTTTCACTGACAGAAAATTAATGTTTAACCTTAAATTTTTTAATCAAAGTCACGTGGTGGGGCTTTGAAGTGTGGAGCAGAGTACAAATTTTATTTTAATTTAATTGATTTTATGTTACAAATACATGCATTTTTTACAATTTGGTTAATAAAGTTTCCCCTGCTGCGATATTTTGAACGGGCTCGTCGATTTCCGGGACCAAGTAAAAAATGTTGTCCCCCTTAAAAAAATTCTAGTATGTAATATTTAGTTAATGTATTTTCGCGTTTGGAGTGCGTTACGAAATCCTAACTATAACGACACCATGGTTTTGATCTGTCAAAAATTTATTTACATCAATGTCAAAATACCAAGGGTATTTAGTAGATGTTTATGCCCTGGGGCAGACTATCTTACAAGTAAGTCGCCCAAGGGATCCACATCTATTAATACCTGCGGTGGATACAAAATTTTGTCATATTAGTTTGTTATTGCTTCCACAATAAATATATTCAAAAAAATCCGAAAATTTAATTTGATTTTGATTTAAACAAATATTAGAAATATTCCAAAACACCAAAACAAAACACAAAGTGCCTTAAGTACTTTTCGCCAACAATGTTGGCATCTTCAGAAGCGAAGTGTAACTTTTTGATTTTATCATAGCTTACACTTCATGTTTTGTAATTTATTAATAAGGGTTATTAATTTATTAATAACCTTTATTAACACGTGCGACGTTCTTGTGGACCCCCCAATCCTCAATATGTCTATGGAGTTGAAGCTCTTAAATATATAATCTTATTTAAGTTGCTCCAGATGACAGGTTTGACTTAAACCTAATTTTAAATTAAAAATGTATCGTAAACCCTTTGATGTTGTAACTTATTTTTACATTGTTACTAACATACATCATATTGTCGGTCTTAGGACAAAAAGTGCCAAGGTCAGCATAAGTTCCTATCTAGTGAATACTTTGTTTTGGCCAAGGGTCCTATCTTAAAATTTATTTATTTCTTTATAAAACTCTCTAAACACAGAATGGACAACAATGAATATAAGCAATAATAAAAAAGTAAGCATAAATATAGAGAATCTTTTCATATGACTCATATGAATATAATGAAAGTACTCATATGAATATAATAATTTTAGCTTTTGCTACAGTGTATTGCACAGGTACTTGCAAAAATATTGCTAAATATTGCAAAATATCCATGGATATTTAGCCATCAGAAGGCATTGGAAACGAAGTATTTGATAGAGCAATTACGTAAATCTGCTTGTTGGTAGGTATACCTACTTCCACACTAAAAAATATTTACTTAAGCCCACTGCACAACAGCCCAGTAACAGGAAACTAAATGGTAAAGGTGGGAGAGACTCAGCGAACCCTATCAATCAACAGTGGTTTTTTAGTCTCTCCCACCTTTATTGTTAGGATTCCCGTTCCCGTTACCGGGCTATTGTGCAGCGGGCTTTAGTCTTTATTTAATCCTGTTTTGTCCGAAAATAAGAAACTGAGTCTAGTCATACATCATAATATGTTAATAATTTATTATACGTGCTTATACTTTATATTGACTGAATCACTTGCACAAAAACTACAACCTCCATTGCAGCTAATTTAGGACGGACATTTTTTAACGTTCACCCCGCAATATTCGTCAGCTGTTGAAGCACAGCGCAAATAGCGCACGCACAAATAGTGTCAATTACAATACTACCGAACGGCCGGACCAATATACACTCCCATACCAAAAATGGTATACCTCAACTTTAATAGCTATGAAAAAATGTTTTGTCATAAATAGCACACAAACCTCTTTAATTCTAACTTCATCCTTTAAATCTTCTAGTTTGGCGTTTAATCTTGCAAACCTATTAATCTTTTGTTGATCTTCATAGGTAATGTGCACATCTGAATCCTAAAATTTAAATTAAAATAAACATAAACTGCAAATAATCCTTTAATTAAAGTATTTTATACTAACCGGTTGAAAAGTTCCTTTATTTGCGGTTGAGGTCATTGTTACTCTTTATTTAATAAAGTTTTTATATTACTGAAAAAAGAGCACCCGACAAAATTATATTTACTTTGACAGAACGCACTACACGATGTCGGTAAAGAAGATATTGTATTCTGTGAAGATATTTATATCGATATATAAAGATATAGAAAGAAGTTTTTAAAAGTTTATAGTTTATCACAACTAATTTTAAGTTATAGCTTTAAATTTTGTACATTCATTATTTTACTTTAATTGTGATTTATAATTTCCCTTTGACCGAAATGAAATCTGACAACGTCACTATAGCGATCAATTTATAGCGCTGCCAACCCATGATACAAAGATGCCAACCTTAACTCATAGTATACACATTTTGCTTCTTTGGTGTTCTTTGGTAGGAAGTGTCTACGTAAGGAATATAAGTGTTATATGCAACCAATTATACATTTTAAGATGTGTCTACTGCTACTCAGCAGCAACAAAATAAAATTTAAAAAAAAGCACCGTCGTGGAGGTCGATTGGGCCTTTTCATAAAATGTTGTTTAATTTAATTTTTAATTTTTTTTTAAATTTTATTTAGTTGCTGCTGAGTAGCAATACTTATATTCCTTATATTAAATCGGCAGTAAAGTTCTACTTTACTGCCGATTTCGGATAAAAACATTTTTCGTATTTCGCATTTTGCATCTATGTATATAAAACCGCTTTAAGGTTTATTTTTTTACAAAAGAGGAGTAAAATGGTTGTTCTTAGCACTTCAAGGCCCCGTTTAAAACGATTATTATTCTGTATAAACAGAGCACAAACCCAAAGCACAAAAATCGTAAACAACAAAAATGGCCACCGTTAAACTCTGCAGAGTGCACATGTGCAGTGTTGCAGTGATTTTTAGTATTTTTAGTACGAGATAAAACAACTAGCGTCTGCCGACCCAACACATGCAATGTTACGAAAGCGCGCGAGTCGTGGGCACGACTACAAACGAATCATTGACAGTTGACAATAAACAACAATAATTGAGGTTAGTTTAAATTTCAAAACTTTTTCTATGACAGATGTAAAGGTGGTTAACCACAATGAACATGAAATTTTAAACTTTAATTTACTATTTATTCGTAAGTAACAAATAATGTAAAATGTTTGATATTTTTCATGGTACCTATTGCTTTCCAGATAGAAAATAAGTAATAAATATGGAAAATGTAAAATCTGGAGTTACTTGTGATAAGTGCAATAAAATTTTTAAAAGTAACGCATCCCTTTCTGTACATCAAAAATGGAAGCACGAAAAAGGGTCCGAAATTGTGTGTACCATTTGTGAAAAGCAATTTTCAAGAAAAGCAACTTTACAATATCATGTACGAAAGTTTCATCAAGTGCAATCAGAAGTTTCGGAAAAAACTGAGAAAACTCAAACGCATTCACTGAAGTGCCCTTTAAATTGTGATTTTTCTTCGCATAATAAAGACTCCATGATCACACATTACAAGAACAATCATCAAATAAAATTTGAACATCAGGTTTTAAATTTTAAGAGCAATGAAGATTTTTATGCTTGGAAATCTAAAGTTGAAGTCGAGACAAAAGCCCAATTTGTTAATTCTTGGGGATCTCGAAAAAGATCTAATGGATCAACAGTTACTTATTTCAACTGTCATAGGGATGGAGTTTTTAAATCAAAAGGTAAAAATTTAAGACAGCTTAAAATTCAGGGCTCGAATAAAATAGATTCATGCTGTCCTGCTAGAATACGAACCCACTTAAGTTGCGGTTTAATCCACGTTGATTATATTGATACGCATATTGGACATGAAATGGAACTTGGGCGTTTAAGTTTGGCAAAGTCGGAGAAAAATATTATTGCTCAGAAACTAACATCAAAAGTGCCTTTTCAAGAAATTTTAAGTGGAATTCGGGATTCAATCACCAATAATGAAATTAAAAGGATTCATCTTTTAACTCGTAAGGACTTATGGAATATTGTTGATGCATATAACATAAATCATGAAGAAATTTTACACAAAAATGATTATATTAGTGTAGACGCCTGGGTATCACAAATGAGGTCATCTTCAAATATAATAAGATTTTATAAACCTCAAGGTGTAGTTCTGGAGGAGTATCCTCAATTAGAAGAGAATGATTTCCTTCTGGTCATTATGAACCAGGCGCAACTTGAAATTTTACAAAAATTTGGGAACGATGTTGTGATGGTAGATGGAACCCACGGTTTGAATTCATATAATTTCCAACTTTTCACATTAATGGTGCTCGATGATGTCAGGCAAGGATTTCCCTGTGCATTTTGTTTTTCGAACTGTGGAGATGCCGAAAGAATGAAGCTTTTTTTTCAAGCTGTTAAAGATCCAATGAGTTCTTATGGAATAACGCCAAAAATTTTCATGTCTGACATGGACAATTCGTTCTACAATGCGTGGTCTTCCACGTTTACCACATGTCCTATGAGATTATTCTGCAGTTGGCATGTGGATAGAGCGTGGAAAAAAAATTTGACAAAAATAAAAACCAAAGAGAAGCAATCATTAACTTACAAAAAGTTGAAAACATTGATGTTTGAGACTGATCCAAATAGTTTTAATGAAATGTGTGAAAATTTTGTGATAAATTTACATTCGGATCCCGACACTAAAGAATTTGCGGTATACTTTGAGGGACACTACAAGATAAATGCTTCTGCATGGGCATATTGTTATAGAACACAAAGTGGGATTAACACAAATATGAATCTTGAAAATATGCACAAAGTAATCAAACATTTTTATTTCGACGGAAAAAAGGTCAAAAGACTTGATAAGGCTATCCATATCATCATGAAATTCATCAGAGATAAATTATTTGATCGTCTTATTCTTCTCAATAAAGGAAAACTAACGACTAAACTTAAGGACCTGAGATCTCGCCATAAAAAAGCGATGGAAGAAATAAATTTAATTCATGTTGTGAAGAATCCCAATGTCGAGAATAGTTGGAATGTGTCTTCTTCAACGCAAAAAAACATATATGCAGTTACAAAAAATGATGAAAGCTGTATTTGCACATTACGTTGTACTGATTGTAAGAGATGCATACACAATTTTTCATGCACATGCATCGATTCATCCATAAAATGGAACATGTGTAAACACATTCATGTTGTTTGCCGTTATTTAGAAGAAACAGACGATAACACAATCAGTAATGAAAGCTTGAATGATCAACACAATTTTCAAGCTATTAATAAAAATGATGAAAATCAGTCCATTGTGAAGTCTTTTAATCAAAATACGACCGAAAAGTGGAATAAGAATGCTGCCATTGATGAGTTTATACAAAAATGTAAGTACATTGGTTCAATGATTGAAACGAAAGACCAATATAAAGCATGTATGAAACAAATTGCCCCTTTAGAACACATCTTAAGAGCAATACAGCAACAGGTTCAATGCAATGATAAAACAACTATGAACAAAGGTATTGATCAAAAACATGAACCTGCAAATAAAAAAATTGAACCTCAAAGAAAATTTAAATCTACCAAAAAGTCAACAGGCAAGACAAGAACGGGTCTTAGTAACCCTTCAATAGAGGAAACAGAAAAATTAGCACTAGAAATGGTTTGGGCAAATAGCACGGAAAACGCAACCACCTTCACACGAACAGATTTTTAAGAAAATATTTGCACATATTATAAGTGCAATGAAATTGTGATTTTTTTTGTTTTGTACCTGTTTTTTTAAGTTTTGTATTTTATATACATATTTTTTATTTTATATAAATATTTTTTTATAAACTGTTTTGGCTATTATTGTTTTTATTTTTGTAGAAATTGTTTTTTAAAGAACAATTGTTTGAGGAAATAAAAGTATATATATATATATATATATATATATATATATATATATACATATATATTATTAAAACATAAATGTAGGTAAGTACTAATAAGTAGCTTGAAGCGAGCTATGTTAAAAGAGAAATTCTATACCCATTAATTTTTTTATTAATTTTTATTAAATGTAAATTTAAGGTAAATAAAAAACATATTTACAAACAAATATTTATTGAATCTTAAATAACAAATTGTTATAAATTATAATTTATAACACACATTGTAAATACAATTAAATTGTTATAATGTAAGTACAAATAAAAATAAATAATAATAAAAACCTTAAGGTTTTTTTAAGTTTTTCATTATTTGGACACTAAAGCAACGTTGCAAATTTAGGGGTTTAGTTGGAAATTATTTCTATTAAATTGGCATCTATAAAATTTAAAACTTTAATAATGAATATCTGCAGTTAATAAATTAAAAAATATTTACCTATTAATAGGTTATTGATCAAAAAGTATTTCCTGTGGGAGAATTATTTGTACAAAAACGTTTTAAAATTAAACAAATGCATCAGAATTAAATATTTTTTGTTTATAATTTTACAAAAACTGATCAGTCGACATTGGGTACTTCTGCATGTTAAATTTTATTACATAAAATTTATGATAACAAGGGTTGGAAAAAATCAAGATTTTTTTTATTTTAATTACATTTTGAATAAAAAACATAAAAAAACAATAAGAAACAACTCTTTTAAATTTACAAAAAAATCGTAATTTAAATAATTTTATTTAAATCAATAATGAAATATATCGTCGCTGTTCTGACAAAGAGGCGTAAGGGACATTTTTTTCACATTGGATTTAAGTTAACCAAGTGATTTTTTACGCGTAAAAAATCACTTGGTCAACTTAAATCCAATGTAAAAAAAATGTCCCTTACGCCTCTTTGTCAGAACAGCGACGATATACATAACAAACTTAGTAATAAATTTTGGTTTTATAATGCCAGTAGAAAAAAATCTTTAAAAGCAACTGATTTATATACTTACTTTACCTTACTAATATTTACAATAACAAATAGGCCTTAAAAGCTACACAAATCACACATTGCTAGGATTTAGGCACCTTAATTGTGTGTTTGGTCTCAGGTTTTAGTATAAAATTCAACAAAGCCATTAATCGCAATTGCCCCGTTTAGTTATTGGAAACCTACGGAAAAATCAATAGTTATCAATCCCAAAATAAAACAGTTATTGCATA